TCGATTTAGCCAAATGGTTGAATTAATTTCGCCCCAAAATTCAAGACCTGTTATCCTAAATTTGATTGGTTCGTTCACAAATTATAGTCTCGCCAAAATTTACGAAATTCAAGCGCTTTATTAATCTTTTGTGAACTATAAAGACAATAACAGAGATAAGCAACATTTCATTATATAGTTAACCATTTGTCAGCTAGAACCTTATGTTATTTATTTTGTGAAATATATACACAAACATGAATCGGCATGTGCTTTAACGATGACTTTCAGCCTAATCCAATATTAATCATTAAAAAGCTTAAAAAACTGAATCATATTCAAGCTATTTCGTACTGATGATTTCTTGCTATTGACTAGGTCTATAATTCTCTCAACATCAGTTGTAGTAAAGAGCCCAAAAGCATTAACGTTTTATCAATGATTCGAAACCCGTTTGTTCATATTTTCTAACTTCGTACATTTCACAATATAATTTAATCCTTTCAGTCAGTCAGACAGCTACAACGTAGGACCAAGTACATATATACATCGGTCCAAGTTACCATACCCCATTAGTACAACAATACGAACACCAAATTCATAGAAGTAGTTACATCAATGATAGTAATATATAAAAGGAAGACTGTGTATAAGGATATAATACAAGAAGAAAGAATTTTTTCGTTTAATCCTCTGAAGACAATAGTAAAAATTAAATGTAACATGGGAGAAATTAATTTGTAAAATTTATCAGAATCACAGCAAATAAGTCCTACGGTTAAAAGTATACCATGAGGACGAGCCAGTCGGAATCGACGATGTGACTTTTAGGTCTTTGCGTAAAATTCAGGTGCCATGTAAAATGATAGAAAAGAAAAATCCTTGTGTACCGCTTATGACGTTTAAAATGATAATAAACAATAACTTTATACAACCATATAGTTAAAAAGAGTGTTGGACGTATCGAATGCCCAATTGTATATAAATATAAACCCTTGAGCAAGAAATCGTGACTCGTAAAGTGCAGGTGTCGTAGGATTAAAACAACTTTCACCGATAATATAGGTCAATTATTTGGCTATTTAACAAATTGAAGTTTGAAATCTGTACTGTTGAATTTCAACCTAGTGATTTATCTATCAAGCATTCATCAAGAGACCTGGAGGTTCTAGGTTCGATCCTAGGTGGTGCAGTGTGTAAATATTGCTAAGGATTCCTATATCAAGATGAAACACTCTCTACTCCTCCTTAGTATTCAACAGTATATGAAATAAGGTCAATCTTTGGTGAATCTAAAAGGTACAATTATTTTTATTCAATTCCAGAAGGATTGAGAGAGAGGAAAGTTGAAATAAAATTGATAACCTACTGGTAGAAATTTGTAATTCCCATTTATTATTCCAAACAGTAATTGATTAGTCTTTGTTGACATGATGTCTATTCTGAACGAACTACCTTGATATAACATTGTACTACAAGTTATAACAATCGAATTCAAGACACGACGTTTCATCCTACCTGATGTTCTTTCACACTGTGAGTCTGACTACATTAATTTTGCTTCAAATATTTAATGAATTGTTTACTAAGCTAATAAGTAAAGCTAAATATACCAAATAGGAAGTGTAATTACGTAGTCTTAAAATTATACATCTATTATGAAATAAATGCTTGATAATGATAACTGTTGCTTGGTTAAAGTATCTCATAAATCTTAGAAAGATCTCATTCATTTTTATATTTTCGTTTATTTTACATCAAAAAGAAAGAGAAAAATATGAAATGTTATTTTTAGTTATTTATTTCGATCGATCAATCAATCAATCAATTAATCAATCACTTGAAAGATTTAAAATGTTTTAATAATAAAAAAAAAATCGATCGACTTTAAATTGATGAAGCCAAAAAAAATTTAAGTGATCATATTATTATGTATTATGTAAGGATTTGAATTATTTTACTGATCAGTCAGTCAGTAACAACGTAGAACTTCGTACGTATGTACATCAGTTCGAGTTGACATACAACATTAGCACAGAAATACAATTGTCCATTCAAATCCCATAATGGTAGAGGTAGTAAGGGTATAAGCAGTAATCGGAAAGATTAGGGTTTCAAGATGTTCTTCAAGGAGTATAATACAGTGAAATAAATTTGAAAAGTGAAAAAAATAGGGTACATGAAGAATTCAGAAGATTATAATTTGGGAGAACACAAAGAGTGGATGCACCTGCACTATTCCAAACGATTTTGAGCCATGTCATTCAAGATCTCTAACTATCGATTGCTATCATCTCGGGGATCCCAACCAGGTAGTCTACACCTACCAACATGGCTGATGATATTCTTGATTTAATTTTGATCAAGTTTTATAAATTCCATTTGTCATCCCAAATTATTCATAATGAAAGGTATTATGTTAGAGATCTAGTGTGAATATTAACAACCCTTTGATGAATCGTATATAACATGAGATATGTTTGTTTTGTATTTCATTATTAATCATAATCATATCAGAAGGGGTTTTGTCGATATTATGGTAATTTCAATGGTTGAGATCATGAGACCACCATGGAAAACCTGAAAGCACTGGACAGTCGTTTCGTCTTATTGTGATCTCAACCATTGAAATTCACAAAAACACTTCTGATATTAATCAACATATGCTGACGAGTGACTGGATTCAAGAGGTATATCCTAGAGTTCTAGTGAGAAGCAGTGACCAGTGGAGTTCAACTGGGTCTGTTGTAATATAGTAACTCACTGATGACAATGATGAATGTGTCGCTCAATTTCGTGGATTGGTTGGAGTTAGACAGTAACACCGTTAAATGCCGGCCTTCTCAGTGGTGTAGAAGTTAAGCGCTCGAGCGCGAGACTGACAGGTCTTGGGTTCGTATTTCATTATTTCTACAAAATTTACAATTTTATAACATACAATGTTGTAATACATAAACAAGTAATTTGAGAGTAAACTGATTATTTATTAATAAAATTAATTAAATTCTTGTTATAATGATGACTGATTCAATGTAGGAAACATGAACTCAATCATTCAGTCAGTCAGTTACAACGTAGGACCAAGCACATACATGAATAGGTCCAAGTTACCATACCTCATTAGCACAGCAAGACGTACACGGGATTTAAAGAAGTAGTTAACTCATTGGTGTAATATGTAAAGGAAAGATTTTGTGTAAGGATATAATACAAAAAGAAAAAATTAGTTCGTAGAAAGAAAGATATAAAATAATTTTAATCCCATAGTTTAAGAGAAGATAAACAGTGAACTGCTGGATACTGATCCGTTAATCGAATGTCTAAGGTACATATATTGTATAATTCACATTTATTAAGTCATGGATAATGCTTTTAACTTTGGACCTCATTAATTTCATAAAAGAAGCCAACGATATTATCTGTCTATCGAAGCTCAAATAAATAAAACATGATACAAATATGTTCTGTCTTCCTTTGAACTATGAGATTAAAATTGCTTCATATCTTTCTTTCTACGAACTAATTCTTTCTTCCTGTATTATGTCATTATACACAATCTTTCATTTATATATTACTACCATTGAAGTAACTACTTCTATGAATTCAGTGTTCATCTTGTTGTGTTCATGAGGTATGGCCAATTGGATCGATGCATATATGTACTTGGTCCTACGTTGTAACTGACTGACATGATACCCAAATGATTGTATTTAATAGCAGTACTGTTTATTTATCTATTTATTTTAAAATTGACTTTTTTTTATCAGACCGTCTAACTTTAAATGTTAAACAATTTCCAACAGTTTAGTTTCTAATAAGATTGTTAAACAGAATTATTCAGTAGAAACTATGCTATAATACACTAAAGAATTAACTTATGTATGAAATAATCTTATAACTACAATTTATCCATGTTACCATATGTGATTTATGTAAATTTTCGGAAAGATCTATGTGTTTTGTAATACATATTTCTTCTTTTTTTCAAACGATCGACTGAATATATTGCGAAATGGTGGAGAAGATTTGTAGCTCAGGTGGATGATTTTGATGGAGTTTTATTCTCTGAGCTGGATTGTTTGGTCATGGAGCTTTCATCGTTCTTCTGAACGACATCATCAGCACAATCTTCAGATAGATTTTAGAGACTTTTATCTGAAGTTTGTGCTGATGACGTCGTTCAGAAAAACGATGAAAGCTCCATGACCAAACCATTCATTTCAGAGAACAAAACTCCATGAAAATGAATTCATGTTGTTTTTTATAAAGTACTGTATTCCTAATTTAGGTGATATTCATTTTGTTTAGTAAAAAATAGTCTCTAAATGTAATAGTATATGATAGAAGTTCCTTTTATATAGAGATCCTATATCATAACAAACTTTCCCTTATAGACTATACCTTCAACTAATAAACATTGGTTCATACATTTTTACTGTGAAATTTATAATTTCTTCTAAGTTTTCAATGATGATCTAACATTGATCAGTTCAGGAACTCAATTAAAACTCAACAATCTCTACAATTATATACACAGAAACAGAAAACTCTCGTGTGAAATAAATCTATCAGAAAAATAAGTGACAACACATCAATATAGGTCCTGGGTTTGAATCTCGCAGGATGGGATCGTGGATGTGCACTGTTGAGGAGTCCCATAATAGGACGAAACGACTGTCCAGTGCTTCCAAATTTTCCATGGTAGTCTAGCTTCAATTGACTCATGAATTCAATTATAAAATGACATCAATGTAAAGTTAAAAGTCAAATTTCTTCATTCGAAACAGACAGAATCAAATTATTAACGGAACAGGGTTTTTTTGTTTCCATCGTTTACTTATCATATCTCACTTAATGATGCAAATAATTTACACAGATTAATGTCTGTATAACCATTTTATCAGTATAAACATTTATAGTTTTGTAATGGAACCGATAGTGAAGATATTTAACATATTCAAGTGAAGAATAAAATCTTTTTTATTAAAATACTTTTTACATATATACTATATATTACTTACCGTCCTGATTTTGTAATTACCATTTCAGTAGTCATACTATGAAAATGTTTCCATAGATCAGAGTCTAATAATTCAGTTCGTTGAACTAGTGAATCTATTTGATCAGATTCATTTTCTAATAAATCATTCATGATATATGACTTAGATGACTGATAACCATTATCATTATTGTTAGTATTATTATTATTATGGCTACTGTTATAAGTAGTAGTGGTAGTAGTAATAGTAGTATTAACCATAGTAGTATTCTTACTACTACCAGTTGAACTAACGATATCACGAATAGTTAAGTTATCTGGGAATATATTTAAATGATTTAATTTAAATTTTAAATTTTCTTGATCATCCACTATGTTACATTTCATAGATTTTTGCAATCCATCTCCAGTGTTTAAATAATTTGGATTATGTAACAAATTATAACGATGTTGACTAGACTTGTCACAGTGTAATATATGATCATCCATAAATTGGTTTTCTGTAGTAGTAGTAGTTGTTGTTGTCATCGTCGTAAGTCCTTTTGTCGACGATGGCGATGATGATGACGGGGAAGTGAAGGGTCCAGACGCAGATGATAATGTTAATGTTGGTGACTTATTTAGTTGATCAGGTGTTGATATCAACGAATCAACATTTCGTTTCATAAACATCATCATTAACATCATAAGTAATACATTATTATTATTATTACCACTATTATTATTATTATTAATATTATCTGGCCAATTAGCAGGATCATTCAAATAATCTTTTGAACAATATCGGGAATCCCAGTGGTCACGGAGATAATGATGATAATAATCATCTTGTGAACTAAAACTGTTCTTCAAATCATTGTGTACATGATTACAAATATCAAAATGTTCCACTGAATCAAACTTATTATTAAATAAATTCATTGGTACTGAAGATTCTGTGTTAAACATGGCGCTATTGAACATTGATTGCAACGCCGCAGTAGCTAATGCTGCTGTTGAAATCGATGTAGGTGGTAGTGATAAATTTGACGAGCTATTATTTAGTAAACTATTTGTAACTGTATCATTTAACATTTTTATAAGAACATGTAATTGGTCTGGATCCATTTGATTCATTAGAGTAGTATAGAATGATGTGGAATTTTTGCAAAATATTGAATTGGTTAACGGAGGGACAGAAGGAAGTGGGAATGGTAATGATGTTGGGGATAGTAATGGTAACGATGATTGTAGGTTTATGTTGGGTTGTAGTAGATGGGGTGGAGATCTAAACGCCGTACTACTGTTTGGTAAAGTTGATAAGAATGGTGAAATTGGTGCTTTCGTTGTATTAGATTCATTAGAACTATGTCTATTTCGACTGAATATAAATTGTGATTTACATGTTTCTATACTGAATGATTTTGGCTCATCTTCATCATCGTCATCATTTATCATCATCATCATCATCACCATCACCATCAGCATGGTTATTTTTATCATGTGATTCCATAGTGTTTGAATTAAAAATGATTGGATTATTTAATTGTGTTGATGAATTCATTGTTGGGGATTTATCAGGAAAGCATAAATTCGGTGTTTTTTGACTGATTAACATAACGATAATAATAGTAATAAAGACAACAATAATAATAATAATAATTTGTAATTGTAGTAGTACTGTACAATTGTATCTTACTTATTTGAAAGAAGTGTCGCATTGGTAATTTTTTATATATAACTAACTAATATTTACGTAAACTCTCTCTCTCTCTCTCTTACACACTCTCACATACACACATACATATACATGAAATTAACATCTCAACAAAAATGTTAAAACGATTGGATACTAAATCCTTTTTAAAATTGATAGGGGGATGGAATAAATAGAATGAAACATAACACTTTTAACCAATAGAATGCTTTCACACTTGTTCATAATAAGCAGATCTAAAAATTATTGGTGTCAATTTTCGAAAGTCTATGTATGTGTATAAAAAACATTCAAAATATAACACATGCCTATAATGATATAAGTTATTTCCTTATTCCATGTAACCCTTTTGCCCTCCCCTCTAAAAGTATAAACATTAAACACTTCTCTATCCGCTTATCTATCACATTGTCTAACTAATTTTCTATATTAGAAAATTCTGTTTGTTGTACACGAATGGACAAGGAAAAGGAGGAAAAAGAGAAAGAGAAGGAATAACAGAGAATGATTATTTTAAGCGATTATGTACCATATAATCATAGGAGATCAAAAAGCATTACAGTTGGATTGGTTAAAAGAATCAAACATTAGAATAGAAAAACTATTTTCTCTATTTTTCGTTCTTTCTTTTTAAATATTTTTTCTTCTCCTTCATTTATTGTTGCTCCTATAGATATTTTCTTTGTTAACTTCTTTTATTTTCACTCTTTCTTTCCTCTCTATTATATACTCGAATTGTTTAATATCTGTTTAGAATACAGTTTAGTTGTTGTTGTTGTTTTTTTTTTTTTGGTTAGTAGAATGCCAAATTTAATAGACATAGACACGGTGAACGGGTCGTTTTATAGATAATTTGTATGACTATTCTTAATAATAGTCATTAAACAACAATAACAACAACAAAAAATCACTCGTAATCATAGCATAGTGTTCATTAGGTCAAAAAACCTAGACAATTTACTGGATATGATGATGTTGACAACAATATTAATAATAATAGTGACATGAAAGTAAACAAAATTCACTTCACAACACATACATACAAATACATTACATAGTACATAGTACAATTAAACGTGTACATCGAATCTATTAATAATGAGTTGTGTATGAATTTAAATGAGGTCATTTATATTGGTGTTGTTTTGAACAGAAGTGAAATATATTTTCTTGTTTGTTTGAAATTTACCACCATGGAGAAGATAGTCAATTCAGAATGAGAATTTGTGGAGATTGTAGTAATTTAATAATTGAATTCATTAGTCGATATAAATTTATACTATCATGGAAAATCTGGAAGCACTGGACGGTCATTTCATTTCAACTGTATATATTGTGATGAAGTAACTCGCTGAAGACAATGATGGACGGTTGTGTAATATCGTGAATTTGGTTAGAGTTAAACATCAACACCATTGGATACCGATTCAGTGGTCTAGAGGTTAAGCGTTCGTGCGTGAGACCAATAGGCTTTGGGTTCGATTGATGTGTGTGACCGTCCAGTACTTCAAAGTTTTTCATGGTGGTCTAGCTTAAATCGACTCATGAATTCAACCATAGTCAATTCAATTGATGAATCTTTCAAACAGGTCACACCTGTGGGTGATCTTACATTTCTTGAAAATTAGAAAGTATTGATCAATTGTAGATTCCATCACAGAGTGACCTTACTTATACAATGATTGAAAATCAGGAAACAGTAAACAGTTTATTCCCGCCTAGTGTGGAGCTCTTCACCAGTGGACATCCACGACCCCACTGAAAATCAATTGGAATTCGATATGTAAACCGGTGGGTGGTGGTTCAGTAAACTAAATGTTGGATGCTCAGTGTGAGACCTGAAGTCCCCATATTCTATTTCAGGTTGGTTCGTGAACATACATTGATGAGGATTCTCATGCTAGTGTGAAAGTTGTGTACCGCTTCCAGACTTTCAATCGTTGTCTAAATAAGATCACTATAAGATGGAGTCTGAAAATCCAGTAATCTCCACAAACTCAGTATACCAATTCTTAAGTTTATATAACAAATTGTCATTAGCTCGGAAATTAAGAAGTATTGGGGGATAAGCGTTTTGTTCTAGTTCAATATACGTTTATAACTTCATATTTGAGGTCGAAACCAAAGTATTCGCTTCTTATGAGAAGCACACAAGCGTTCTGCTCATTCGTTCGATATTTAACTTGTCACATTATCAAGTTCAGTTAATTTATTTTCAACTACCAACCATCATTGATACCTGTCCTATTTTAGAAATAGTAAAACTCTATTGATCAAACCTTCTGACTAAAACATCAAGGATATTCCTAGAAGTGATTACATAATCAATAATAATGGTATAAAAAATCGGTATTGGTTTATTGTTGAATGATTTTATCCCAGGTTAGTTATATGTTCACCCTAGTCTGATATCTCTACGTCGTGTACCTCATACCTCGCAGCCCCACATGTGAGAGAGAATTCAAGGTAGACAGACCCCACGATAAATTTAGACCATGAAGTCGGAATAATTTGGTTCAGATTTACGCAATATTAACCAATGTAGTCGATAAGCTCTGTTTAAAACATCATACATACATATTTCAAGCTACAACTATACATTTGTTAGATAAAAAGCCTATAGATTATTCACTAAAAAAGAATTAGAAGATTATTCCATTTAATGTTAGTATAAAAGTTTTATGAAGATTGTTCGGTATGTAATTAGCATTATGACATCAATGCTACTAGTCCTACCATCAACGCAGTTGCTCAATACCATGAAATGACTGAATTTAGAAATGAAAAAAACTAGGTCTCAACCTAGTGATTTAAAAGCCGATTTCCAACTGAAAGGCCTGAAAGTCTAGATCTCAATCTCTGGAGTAGTTGTGGGTACACATATATACACTCTTAAAGACTCACATATGAAACAACGAAACAGTTCCCATTACTCGATGTTTTCTAAAAAAGTTTATTTAGTTGAAATCAGTTTTTGTTTGTACTTGTTTTCCTTCTAATTATCAGAATTTACTATGTAAAGATATCTAGAGATTAACACCGTTGGATGCCAACCAGCTCATTGGTCTAGTGATTAAGCGCTCGCGCATGAGACTGATAGTCCTTAGGTTCGAATATTGCGAGGCAGGATAGTGGATGGTTACTTCTGAGAAGATCGACAATAGGACGAAACAAACGTCTAGTACTTCCAGGTTTTCCATGGTGGTCTAGCTTTAATTGACTCATGATCTCAACCACTGAAATTACCATAATACCCACAAAAACCCTTCTGATATCTAAAATTATTGATTGAGATCATGAATTAATCAATGTTAGATCACCATTAAAAACTTGAAAGCCCAGGATGGCCGTTTCATCCTAATATGAGACTCCTCGGAAGTGTGCATCCAAAGTTTATAATGAACTTTGTTAATGAATATTTAAACAGCAAAGTAAAAATATTTCATTTATAAATACATTAATTATACTAGAAAAATAATTTAAATAAAAAGTTTAATTATGTAACTAATTGTTCAATCATTAATTCACTGTTCAATTGATTGATTAATTGACCATTTTCAAAGTATTGCATTAAACACCCAATCATATACCGACATGTATCAGGTTAGGCAACTTATTAAAACCGTCTAACCGTTTATTTTTAAAATGGTAATTAACTGACATAACTTTCCTAAATTTGTTTTTAACTGACTAATTACGACTATTAACTGAGTGTACTTACACATTTTCATATAAAATGTTTACAATTCGTCGTGAATATTAAACAGTGGAATCTAAGATGTGTGTTTCGCCCTATTTGAGACTTTTAGAATTATGGTCAACTATGATATTAGTACTGCTCTAATAATAGACCTAATACTAAAATTGTAGAATTGTCTATAAGATCTTACGTAGAAGTCACGTCATCGTCTACACCAACTCATTGCATCGTAACAATTACCAATACATGATGGAGAACAAGCTTAGGCAAGAGATAGAACTATATTTAATATGAAAAAAGGATATAAGATAACATTCAGTAGGGACCATGCCCTCAAGGCCGAGCCATGCCATACGACCAACTTGAATTAATTCAATACATTGTTCCGGCCTTCCCCATCGTTGGGTTTTCCTCAGCGTTAAATGTTGAACATCTATTTCTCCAATTGTCTCGTGTTCAGCTTTGATGATTGTGTGGTTAGGGCCCAATGCCACTATAGACTCGTCAATTGGATGAACATACATCATATAGTTTATGTACACTAAAAAGATTCAAATAACCACTGTAAATCAATGAATTGTCGCAAATATGATAACTGGGAAGCTCAAATGGTACCATTACGATAGTTCGGATAGTTTTATTTTCTTCTCTCTTTATTTTAGGGAAACATGATATGATTACTATAGGGTTCATACATCAAATATAAACAGCGGTGAAAAATAATATCATAAAAATAAGAGTGACTGATAAGATTTACGAATGAATATGTTTGTTAAGTTACTTACTTATTTACGCCTGATACTCTCAATGGAGCATAGGACGCCGACCTGTATTCTCCAACCCACTCTGTCCACCACCTTCATTTCTAGTTTTATTCAATTGTTGTTCATTCTTCTCATGTCTCTCTCTATTTCTCGACGTAATGTATTCTTTGGTCTTCCTCTTTTCCTTCGGCCTTGAGGATTCCATGTGAGAGCTTGCCTTGTGACACAGTCGGGTGCTTTCCTCAATGTGTGTCCTATCCACTTTCAGCTCTTTTGAAGTGGTAAGAATAGGTGATAATACTGTTACGTAATATCGTCTCTGTAAAATTAAGGTATATTATAAGATATAATTCTTTTGGTTAATTGAATAAACTGAACTTTTAAAGTTATCTTGACGTGTAATATTGCTGTACACTTATAATGAGTAAATCGTGATTAGAGTTGTAGAAAGAAACCAATCTTCAGTAAGATTTGAATGTAACTTTGAGGGGAATAATATTTATCTCGTAAATCTATTCAAGCTTGTGAC